TGCTGCCACTAGGGCCAGGATGATCTGAGTGACTTGTGCTGCACCTGGGGCCATGGTCATGTCTGGGCCTGAGCTGCAGCCAAGGGCCATGTCTGGGTCCATGGCTCTACTGAAGCCAGGGTCTGTGCTAATAATGTCCATGGCTCCTGTTACTACTGAAGACCATGCACATGCTGGGGTCTGGGCCACCACCTGAAGTCATGGTGACATCTGGGCTAAGCTGCTGCTGAGGACTATGTCTGGGTCCATGGTTCTACTGCAGCTGTGGTTTATGTTGATGTCTGTGGCCTATGCTGTCACCAAAGGCCACAGAATGCCCAAGGTCTGGGCCACCACCTGTGGCCATACCAATCTGAGTGCCCCGAGCTGCTGCCAAGGACCATGTCTGGGTCTGTGGCCCTATAGCAGCCAGGGTCTGAGATGATGTCCATGGCTCCTGTTACCACTAAGGGCTGTGTGAATACCCAGGGTCTGGTCAGCTACCTGAGACCATTTTGGTGTCTCAGGGCCATGCCGCTGCCAGGGCCAATACTGATCTGGGTGGCCTGTTCTGCCACTTGGGCCCTGGTGACATCGGGCCTGAGCCACTACCAAAGGCTATGTCTAGGTCTGTGGTCCTGCTGCAGCTGGGGTCTGTGTTGGTCTCTATGGACCATGTTACCACAGAGGCTATATGAACCGTGCGTGTTGAAATCTGAGGGCCATGCTGAGCGGGTACTGCCCTTTGCTGGCCTTGGGAAAGTTGACCCTCCCAGGCCCTCAATGGCCACTGCAGTAGAAGAGCTGGCCCCATACTCAGAAGAGATGGTCCCATCCCTCACCATGAGTGCAGGAGAGCTGGCCTCGCTGGCATTGGTGTAGAAGAGTTGGCTCCACCCTTCACATGATGGGGGCAGTCCCAGAAGCCCAGTCTGATTAAATTAGCTACCATCCAGACCCACATACAGGGCTTTGAGTTCACCTACCAAATCTGGTGGGGCTGAGCCATTTAAGTCCCAGACATCAGACATAGGAACTACAGAATTTTATATTGTTGGGGCTGGTTTTGCTTTGATCTTGTATTTTCTCACCATGCTTCCATTCTGCCTTGTGGAATGGTAATATAAATTCTGTGCCATTATATATTGGAAGTATGTCATTAGCTTTTTGACTTTACAGGGGGTTGCAATTAAGAGATGACCTAAAGTCTCAGAAGAGACTTTGGACTTGAAGCTGGATTAAATAAATTTTGCATTATGATATGGCCATAAGCCTATTTAAATGAGAATGTCACCCATACTCTTAGGCATAAAAAAAAAAAAAAGAGTATAAAAAGAGGACTGGCAATAGTTCAGTGGATAATGGTACTTGTTACAAGCCTGACAATCTAAGTTTGACCTCCAGGACCAACACAGTTGGAAGGAGAGAACAATTCTTGAAAATCATCCTCTGGCCCACACACACACATGAATGAATGAATGAATGAATGAATGAATGAATGAATGAACAAATTAACTTTTAAAAAGAACTGCAACTCAGTAACCAAAACCCAAACAATCCAATTTAATTAGACAAAGGGTTTGCATAGGCATTTCTCCAAAGAAGATAACCAAATAACCAATAAGCTGTAAGAAGATCTCACCATCATAATCATTAGGGAAATTCAAAGCAAAGCCACAACAGAATACCACTTTATATTCGTTAGAATGGTTATTATCAAAGCCAAAATAGAAAATATTCAGTGTTGGTGAGACTGCTGAGAAGGGAGAATCCTTGTGTATTTACTGATGGTAAGAATGTAAAGTGGTGTAGGCACAATATAAAAGAGTGTGAGAACCGGACAGTGGTGGCGCACACCTTTAATCCTAGTACTCGGGAGTCAGAGGCAGGCGGATAGCAGTGATTTTGAGGCCAGCAGGGTCTACAGCTAGTTATATGACAGCCAGGACCGTTACACAAAGAAACCCTGTCTCAAGAAAAAGAAAAAAAAAAAAAGGTATGAGAGTTTCTTTAAACAATTAAATAGAATCACTTAATAATCATGCAATTCTACTTCTGGGTGTAAACTCAAAGACATGAGGGCCAGCCAAGCCTGGTTTGCTCAGGTCCAACAATCCACACTGCTCACCATGCCTTCTCTGCCCTTCTCTATAACTTCTGGCTCAGCTGTAGTCACTGGTTAGTTACACACAAGACAAACCTACATTACAAATGATCAGGTTACCATTAGCTTCAAATAATAAAGGTTTTAAAGTCGCCAAGCCTGCAGACCTGAGCTGTTTACTGACCTCCAGACACACACTGTGGCTGGTGTGTGCTCAGTAAATAAATAAATAAATAAATAAATAAATAAATAAATAAATATGATTTTAAAATTTGTCTTAAGAAGTGATGCAAGAATTCACTTATCTTTCACCCACGCTCATCTCAGCACTTTTCATAATGAGTAAAGGTGAAAGTAACCCAAGCATCTACAAACCAGGCAAGCATTATATCGTAAGTATTCCCCCTGCCTTTAATAACAGCACTCAGGAGGCAGAGGCAGGCCAATCTGTGTGAGTTCCAGGCCAGCCTGGTCTACAGAGTGAGTTCTAGGACAGGCTCCAAAGTAATACAGAAAAACCCTGTGTCGGAAAAACCAATAAAGAGCAAGAATCTACTTCTTTGTCATATACTAATAATATGACTCATTAAATTTTACTCTGATGTTACACGTATCTTGAATATACAATTCAAGTTTGTATGTCTAATTCTAAAAAGAAACCAATCAAATTAAATATATCTAATAAAAGATTTACAATTACATCACAAAGAATGGGTAAGGAAATTAAAGATGTTTATCCTAAATAAAAGTTGCCTAGTGGTGGAATAAGGGCAGACGAAACAGCATAGCAAAACAGAAGAATCATAGACTTATAAGTTAGATGTCTGCCTGCTTTCTCTTACCAACAGTATCACTTGAGATTAAGTTATTTAACCTTTTGGTTTCATCTGTAAAAGGGAAATAGAATACCTATGTAGGATCTTGCTAAAAGTAATTATAAGTATGAATAAAAGCACTTAACATAGTACAGGGCACAGAATGAGAACAAGCATAAATGTTTCTGCTTTTTACTAAACAATTTTCAAATATTCAAATGTCTGAGTATTATGTGGCTAAAGCAATTCATCATGACTGTAATAGACATGGTCACTGTCTCAAAACACAGGGAGAAAAAGTGTTGCTTATGCTTTTAAGTTTGATAAACAAAAGCAGTCAGTTTCACTAAGGCAGGCTATATACCTCCTCTGACTTCTTGGCTTGGCCTCCTATACTATACAAGTGAAAATGCACTAACAGTGTCTGTAGATAGGAAGTGCATTGTAGTTCTGACATTGATACCATAAGCAGCAGTGTGATCTGGAATAAGTCATATGAAGAAGTCAAAGAGAATAGTTTAGTCAGTGTTTCCAAGTTCCAAGGCTTGTTTTATAAACACAAATTTCTCCCAAAATAATGAAGACTTAATTTGTCCTTTAAAAAGTAATTAGGGTCAGGCGTTGGTCTCCCAAGCCTTTAATCCCAGCACTCGGGAGGCAGAGGCAGGTGGATCTCTGTGAGTTCGAGGCCAGCCTGCTCTACAGAGTGAGTGCTAGGATAGACTCCAAAGCTACACAGAGAAACCCTGTCTCAAACAAACAAACAAAACAAACAAACAACAACAACAACAACAACAACAAAGTAATTAGATTGCTAAATTAGAAAGTTTAGCAGCAGTTATTCAAACCATGCTTTAAAGTCTCTGGTTTTTGAAGCCAAATGTTACCCTGATCTTTTTGAGATAGAGTCTCACTGTAGTTTTTGCTGTCCTGGAACTCACTATATAGCCTATGTTGGCCTCAAACTCACAGAGACCCATCTGCCTTTGCCTTCTAAATGCTAGACTAAAGGACATGCGCCACCCATGCCTGGCTCTGGTGTTTTATAATTCAGGGTTACCTTTGTGTGACTGTAACTGAGCAAGTTTATAGAGAAACACAGTGGAAGTATGGTGAGCAGTGTTGGTTGTAGAACCTGATAGCCTAGATTCCACAACAGCTTGCTTGCTGAGGATAAGGACTGACTTGAAGGAAACTAAGGGCAAGGTTTATCTGATATTGTATAATACCTACTGTCTCACAGACTATGAACAATGGTAACTACAGATTTATAACCTCACTAAAGGCTGACAAGTCCCAAGGCAGCATTAAGCAGTAAGACTGAACAACATTGGGTCATTCCAATATTATAAATTGTATCTAATACAAAGCAGAAACCAACTATGGGGGACTTATTCTAGAAAAGATATTTTACAAAACCATCCCACTTTCCAATATGGTAACTCATTTGCTGACTACCAAAACAGTGTGCTTTCTCCTCCTCTTTTTAATGATTCTTTTTTCTCCCCCCCCTTTTTTTTTTAAATTCAGGCACTATTTAAGTTTATAGGGGACATCCCTCTCAGTTTTAACATTTTCCAAATAAAACTAACCAATGTAGGTTATAACAAGTGAAAAAAAAAGCCGGGAGGTGGTGGCACACGCCTTTAATCCCAGCATTCAGGAGGCAGAGGCAGGTGTATCTCTGTGAGTTCTGTGAGTTCGAGACCAGACTAGTCTACAATAGCTAGTTCCAGGATAGCCTCCAAAGCCACAGGGAAACCTTGTCTCTAAAAACCAAAAAAAGGGGCTGGAGAGATGGCTCAGAGGTTAAGAGCACTGGCTACTCTTCCAGAGGTCCTGAGTTCAATTCCCAGCAACCACATGGTGGCTCACAACCATCCGTTATGAGATCTGGTGCCCTCTGCTAGTGTGCAGATATACGTGGAAGCAGAATTTTGTATACATAATAAATAAAATCTTAAAAAAAAAACAAAAAAAAACTAAGAAACAAACAAAACAAAAAAGGCAAAGCTAATTCTTCCAATGTTTCTAATTATACTCCCTTAAAAAACAATTTCATGAATTTTCCCTCAAAATTACTATAGACACTAAAAACTTACCTCCAAGTATATTGATGGTGGATTATGCTCCCCACCAAATTTGTCCAATAGGGCCTCTATATGTTCCTGTGTCAATTTAATCATTTGCTTGATATTCCACACCTAAAAAAATAAATAAATAATGGGCTTTAAATAAAGATCGCTTAGCACACTAATTAGAACTATTCTTAATGTAGAAACAGGATGTCCTAACTATTACACACACGAATCCTTCACACACACACACACACACACACACACACACACACACACACAGATGGATGACCCTTTGACCTTCACACATCACAGCATGCTTGTGTCACTCCCCACAACCATGGCACACACAATGAATAAGCAGAAGGTTTAAAAAATACTAAGATGTCCTTACATTTATAACGAGGGTATCTAATCGTGACTGCTATAATCCTTGCACCCTAGAAGAATGCTAGTCAGTGCATACACTTGTCAGAGTCCACAAGAAGACTCTCATTTAGAAAAGAGGCTTACGCTTACAGAACTGCAAAGAGTTTTACTATAATCAACTTAGTCTTTCACTCACAAGTCCTAAAAGCAATGCTCAAAAGACACTGAAAACCCAATAAATCAAAAAAAAAAAATCACAATGAACAAACAAAATAACAGGCCAAGGAATGATAGCTTTAAGACTCAACAGTCCAACAAATGGGGGATGAGAAAAAGAGGCTTGAGAGATGTAGGGTAAAAATGTATGCTTAGGGGTTTAGTGTATTTTTGATAAATTCTGAAATAATATTTTAGAGGGAGCACTTCATGGTATGTGAATATTTTATAAATATGCTATTATATTCAACAGAAAAATAGTGCCTTGGGGCTGGAAAGCTGGCTCAGTGGTTAAGAGTACTTGCTGTTTTTTCAAGGGACCCAGGTTCAGTTTCCCAGCAGCCACATGGCTCACAACCACCCACAGGCACATACATGGTGCATGTACATACACATAGGCAAATTACTCATATACATAAAATAAAATTTAAAAGAAGCAGCATCTGGCTCACTTACTATATATGGCTTTTCACCTCCCCAAAAAGTTCTTTTTAGATTTTGTAATTCTAATATTAAAGTCTCTCCAGTTATCTATTTAACTTGCTCTGTACACTCTAATAACAAGTAGGTGCTAAGAATATTGTACCATACATATTATATCAACTTTATACAGAGCTTACCTTGTACCAGACACTGATTATATACTTGTCTCTATCAGTTCATCCAGCAAACTAACACCTCCTCCCAACAATTCAGAAGTGTCTTGGTTTTAGTCCTTGACCTTATGAAATACACATTCTAGCTGCATAAAGTCAAGCATTAAACAAACATAGCATATGTCAGACTGTGATGGTGAGCTTCAGACCAGGATACAGACGGATGGCTATGAACCTGAAGATCTGAAGGGACAGGAGCAATCTCAGAGTGCACACATGAAAGAGAAGCCAGTGAAGCAGAGGAGGAACAAATACAGAAGCATTGGGATAGAGGGAAGAATGGCTTGTGTGCAGGCTGATTGCATCAATGCCCCCAATTAACGGCTTTCTAAAAGGCACACCTTGTTGTCTGTAACTTTGCAAGTCTTCTTTCTACTCGACTCTGGGCTTAAGTGACTTGGTTATTCTTGTGATATCTGGCAGCATGGTATTAGCAAACATGACCCCAACAGAAGTTTGAAATGTAAATATGAACTACTTCTTGCTGTCTTGCACAACTGAACTTAGCTTGCTCTTTCAACTCTGATCTGCTCAGCTCTAAGAACATGCCTCAGCTAGCCTACTGGCATCATGCTGTGCCACTTAAAAGCTATTCTAGAATAGCTAGCTACCTAAACCACCAACTGAACACATACATGATTTGAACCCAGCCAACATTAGTGTAGTCCAAAATAGCATGCTTTCACAATGGGAAATAATGGTTAAGTACTAGGCTTTAGGATGGTTTATTAATAGAAAATTGTACAGAAGTATGCAACAGAACACATAAAAAGTACACATGAATGATTCTAACCACAATATCCCTAATAGTCAAAATGTGAAAACAAGATGGACATTGTTATACACACCTATAATCCCAACATCTGGAGATCCAGGTAGAAGTATTAGGAGTTTAAAACCAGCCTCAGCTATATAGCAAGTCCAAAGACAGACTGGGCTACACGAGACCCTATCTTAACAAAAGCAGGGGAGGCTGAGGAAGTGGTTCAGTTGGTAAAGTGCTTCTATGCAAGCATGAGGGCCTGGACTCAGATCCCCAGGGAAAACAACCGTAATGTTCACCTGCTAATAAATAAGTAAAATGCAGTACATCCATTCAAATACAATTTTACGTCAAGAAAAGGAGATAAACCATCAATATACAGCCTGGTCTACAGAGCAAGTTCCAGGACAGCCTCCAAAACAATACAGAGGAACCCTGTCTCAAAAACAAAACAAAAAACCCATCAATATATAGATACACACTCTAACATAAACTAACCTTGAAAGTGCTGTACTAAGTGTAAGAAAGCTGGCCACAAAGGATGCAGAGGTCATGAGGAGCAGAAAGGTTGATTCAGGTGAAGAATAGAAGAAAGGATATGTGATAGGTAAGGTTTTAGTTTCGGGGGGAGGGAGGGTAGGGGAGGACGGGAGGCAGAAGGGAACTGGGATTGTCATGTAAATCAATCTTGTTTCTAATTCAAATAAAAAAATGACTAAAAAATGCAGACTGCTTAGATCTTTTACTTCAAATCCACAGAACCAACATCTACTTCTTCCACAAGAAATGAGCTCATTTAAACACCCACGACAGGCTTCTAATTAATGCCAACGTTTTGGATGGGAGGGGGAGAGCATCTTACTCTATATAGCCCAGATTGGCCCAAAACTCATGATTTTCACGCTCCTGTTTCTAAATTACTGGTATTAAAGGCATCAATCAACCATGTTCAACCACCAACACTGATTAATTTTAACCTTCACTAACCTCTAGAGCAGTGGTTCTCAACCTTCTTAACGCTGAGACCCTTTAATACAGTTCCTCATGTTGTGGTGACCATTCCCCCTTCCCCCGCCATATTATTTTGTTGTTACTTCATAACTATAATTTGGCTGCTGTTATGAATCATAATGTAAGTATCTAATATGCAAGATATCTGATATTTGACCCCTAAAAGGTTGAAAACTACTGTTGTAGAAAGAACACAAGAATTAAAAAGAAATCATGTGGCTGAAAGAACAGAATAATTTGAAGACTGCAAGCAAACAGAGAAGCACTTACAATGACCTTTAAGTCACTAAATCTATAAAATTATATGGGAGGGGTGTGATGGTTCAAAAGAAGATGGCCTCCAAAGGGAGTGACACTATTAGGAGGTGTGGCTTTGTTAGAGCAGGTGTGATCTTGCTGGAGGAAGTGTGTCACTGTGGAGGTGGGCTTTGAGGTCTCATATGTGCTCAGGTCATGCCCAGTGTCTCAGACTACTTCCTGTTGCCTGTGGGACAAGAATGCTCAGCTCCTTCTCTAGCACTCTATCAGCCTGCACGCTGCTTTGCTTCCTGCCTTATAATAATGGACTAAACCTCTGAACTGTAAGCAAGCCACCACAATTATGTGTTTTCCTTTGTAAAAGTTGCTAAAGTTCCAATTTAAAAATGGGCTTACAGATCTAAACAGAGAATTATCAACAGAACAACCTCAAATGGTGGAAAGACACTTAAGGAAACTCTCAACATCCTTAGTCATCAGGGAAATGCAAATCAAAACCACTCTGAGATTCCATCTTATACCAATCAGAATGGTTAAGATCAAAAACACCTATGACAGCTTATGCTGGAGAGGATATGGAGTAAGGGGAACACCCTTCCATTGCTGGTAGGAGTGCAAACCTGTACAGCCACTGTGGAAATCAGTATGGCGATTTCTCAGAAAATTAGGGATCAACCTACCTCACCACCCTGCAATACCACTGTTGGGTATATACACAAAGAAGGCACATGCACACCACAAGGACATTTGCTCTTCTATGTTCATAGCAACATTTGTAATAGCCAGATCTTAGAAACAGCCTAGATGCCCTTCAACAAAAGAATGGATAAAGAAAATGTGGTATATTTACACAATGGAGTACTACTAGTGTAAGAAACAATGACATCCTAAAATTGACAGGCAAATAGAACTGGAAAAAAAAAAAACATCCTGAGGTAACACAGAACTAGAAAGACAAATATAGTATGTTCTCACACATAAGTGGATACCAGACATAAAGCAAGATACCCAGCCTACAATCCACAACCCTAGAGAAGCTTGAACCCTCTTCCAGAACAGATGGAAGCAGATGCAGAAATCCACAACTAACCAATGGGCCAAGCTCCTGGAGTACAATGGAAGTGAGGGAGGAGCGATAATATGAACAAAGGAGTCAAGACCATAATGGGGAAACCTAAAGAACAGGTGACCCGAGCTAGCGAGAGATCACTGACTCAGGTCTGACAATCGGGGAACCAGGATAAGACTGAACTAGACCCCCTTATTGATATAGGTGAAAATGGTGTGGCTGGGACAATATATGAGGCCACTGGTAGTGGGTTCTGAGATCTAACTCAAATGCACAAACTGACTTAATGGAGCACATTCTATATGGAGAGATACCTTGCCTGGCCTAGACACAGGAGTGTGGGGGTGGGGAGGTGCCTTGGTCCTGCTTCAATGAAATGATAGGACAGACTAAGTAGACTTCCTAGGGGAGGCCTTACTTCCTGGGGGGGGGGGATGGGAGAGGAGGGAGGAAGAACTGAGATTGGAATGTAAAAAATAAATTAATAAAAAAAAGTTAAAATGAGGGGCTGGAGAGATGGCTCAGCGGTTAAGAGCACCGACTGCTCTTCCAGAGATCCTGAGTTCAATTCCCAGCAACCACATGGTGGCTCACAACCATCCATTATAAGATCTGGTGCCCTCTTCTGGTGTGCAGATGTACATGGAAGCAGAATGTTGTATACATAATAAATAAAATCTTTAAAAAAAAAGTTAAAATGAATGAATGAATGAATAAGTAGATCTTAAGAGGGAAAAAAGTTGCCAAAGTCATGGTGTCTCTTCACAGCAACAGAAACTCCGATTAAGACAAGGAAAAAATGGTCTCA